TGTGTGTTTTGGGGGGTTTCAATTATTTCAAATATTGCGTATATAGTGAGATTTTATTAATATTGTCACGTGCATATGAGTGACTCTCGACGGTGTTTTGGATTGGATTTACTGACCACTTTAACACACAACTCGTAATTACATTTAATTATAGCTCCAGCGCTGATCTCCACATTTTACAAATCACTGTTACGCACACACATTAGTGTTCTCGGTCTGTTACTAGACATTTCCTGGTAACGGCTCCTAACAATGGATATTCCTTTGCTTCAAAGCTCATGTCCTGTCTGAATGGCAGCTCCCTTCCAACTGTATGCCTTCTTTGTAACTGACTAGCGGCCATTTCACACCAATCTCCTAGTCTTCTCGTCATCTCTTGACCATCGGCTAACTCTTTATTTGTCACCGAGTGTTTTCTTCTGACTCCTATACAAAACTGACTTGGTTGCCCCAGTTGTCTTCCTTATAGCTCCTCTGCATGGCCCGCGCAGGCAACACTGTTCATTCTCGTATGCTAAACGTTTCCGTGGGAATGAGTTTACCAAACCGTTCCCTAGCAGCGACCGTCAATTCTTGGTTATTAAGAATCTACTGCCTAGCAACGGGCGTCATTCTATTGTCTGTTCAGCGGCCGTTGCCTAGAAACCAATGTTGTTTCAGAGTCGTTCTCCAGCAGCGGCTGTTTCTCTGGCTCCACAGTTCTTGCCTGGAGCAAATATGCCGCTCTTTCAGTTTCGCATAAAATGCGAGCGCACTTGCTTGAAATCGGCCATGTCACTTTTAACACTCCGCGTAAGTGACAAATCTTGGGCGAGCCGCACAGAGGTCATAATAACATTCTGATTGGCACGAAACAACAAAGGGAGCCAGGATAGCTCAGTCGGTATAGCGACGGGCTAGGAGCTGGGCGACCGTATCGTCCAGACCGGTTCTGGGACCTATGCAGTGGATACCGGGGGCTTTTTCCCAGGGGGTAAAGCGGCCGGGGAGTGAAGCGTCGATGTCAAGAAAACGCGGATCTAGACATCCACCCCCCAATACTCCTTCATGGTATGGTGCTTAATTAGTTAAGCACAGGGACAACTTTACGAAACAAGCGAATTGTAACTCGTCGCGTTTGCGCATGGAAGAGGAGGAGGCATGAATTGTGCTGTTGACGGTTGATAACATTTCCAAGCACGGCACAGAGGCAGGAGACGCGGCCCAGTCTTCTACTGGGTCGTGACGTCTGCAATATCAAATTCATATGGCTCTCCGAATGACTTGCGGGCGAGGGTGGCCTTCGAATTCCCCAAAGCAGGGATCCCCGCAACTGCTGGATGTCGCATTTTCAAGCAACATCGACAATAATGGAAATGCATTCGGCTTCTTGCAAGCTGATGGGAATGATCACGTGAGAAGGACGGACACAATTGTCACCGCATTCGCACTCTGTGAGGTTCCTGTTTTCTCTGTTTTCCGCGGCTCACCTTCTGCAAGCTGCGGAAAAGGCTGGGGGCGGAGTGAGGAGTTGTTAAAGTAAGATTCAGAGAACATCGATGCATAAGTTTGTTGGGGGTGGGGGGGAGCTGTACTCTGCACCGGGGAAAGGTAAGTTTCATACTGCGTCGGATATTGATATTGGTTTGGGGGATATTAACGACGCATCCGGCAGGCAGACTAGCGTCCATTGTGTGTGAATGATAATTTGCAAGGAAACAGACGCGATCTAATCTAAGTACCATCCGGCATTTGCCTGGAATAACTGAGGAAAACAACGAAAACCCTTATGATAACCGATGTCCCTACCGAAAGTCGAACCGAGCCCCTCCGGAACATGAGAACGAGAGCCCTCGCGGATGCTAACTCCTGGGCTGGTGTCGGATAGTGAATTGAACTACGTGTAAGTGTTTGTTTAGTTCTATATTGACTTCATGAAGCTGAGCCCTTCTTGAGAAGCCGCCAGCCGCCAGCCGCCATGCTTCCCAGCATTTTATGGAACCTGAAAGTTCATTACCGTGTTCACAAGAGCCCTCCACTGGTCCCTATTCTGAGCCAGATCAATCCAGTCCATACCATCCCATCCTGTCTAACTTCCGTTTTAATATTATCCACCCACCTACGTCTTGGTCTTCATAGTGGTCCCTTTCCTTCCTGGTTTCCCACCAATATCCTAGATGCTTCCTCTTCTCTCCATTCGTGCTACTTGCCCTGCCCATCACATCCTCCTTGACTTGATCATTCTAATTATACTTGGAGAAGAGTACAAGTTATGAAGCTCCTCATTATGCAGTTTTCTCCAACCTCCTGTCACTTCATCCCTCTTCGGTCCAAATATTCTTCTCAACACCCTGTTCTCAAACACCCTCTGTCTGTGTTCCTCCCTTAATGTCAGAAACAAAGTTTTACACCCATACAGAACCACAAGGAAAATTATAGTTTTGTATATTCTAATTTTTATGTTTTGGGGCAGCAGACGAGAAGACAAAAGGTTGTGGGCTGAATGGTAGCAAGCATTACCCGAGTTCAATCGCCTCTTAATTTCCTCCTGAATCAGGTTTTGATGTGTTACTGTCGTCCCCAAATATCTGAACAGTGCCACATTTTCAAAACATCTGTTACCTACCTTTATGTCACGAGATCTCTACCGATAAATGTATGTATTGACGCTGTATAGACAGTACTAATAGAGTACTTCCAAAACAGGAAATGCAGTTTATTAAGTTTTAGAGTTTTTAATCGAAATATTTGCCGTTGTGATACTTCTCAATGAAATACAAGGCTGATGAATCTCTTTGCGCAGTGTCGGAGGCCAGCTTTGTGAGCGCAACGTACGCCGCTTCTGCAGTTTAACTTCGCAACAGGAGATTCAAGGGTGTCCAACAAACTAACATCGAGGCCAGCAATATGTGAGGATCTTACGGCGATGACGCCGTGTAGTCTGAACTCCAAATAAAACACTCAGTTCGTGCAGTTAGCGTGCAGAACGCGTACATTTCATGAACTAAGCTGTGAAGTTGTGATGACATTAATATTGCATGGATGTGAAATTAATTTCTCGTGTTGAGGGAGGAACACGGGTTTCGCGCGTTTAAGAACGGGGTGCTGAGGAGAAAATAAATGGATGGAGAGAATTACAATATGAGGATTTCCAAAATTTGTATCCTTCACGAAATATTCGGGCCTACTATGATGTTCGGGTATAGGAGAAAGGGACACACACGTGGGGAAGGAGAAAAATGCGTACAAAATTTGTTGTAGGAAATCCTGAAGGAAAGAGACAACTGTGAAGACCTCTATGTCGATGGAAGGACAGTATTACTATGTATCAAAAAGAAATTGGACCGGAGGGTGTGGAGTGGATTCATCTTGCTTAGAATATAGTACTGCCGGCGAGCTCTTGTGAAGAGGGTAATGAAACTTTCGGTTTAATAACATTTTTGGAAAATCTTGACTAGGTGAATAATTATTTGCTCCCCAAGAAATATTCCGCTCTAGTTAGTTGGTTGGTTACTGGAAGTATGCGCTCCTTTTGATATGCCCCGCCCCCAGGCTCGGGTTTCAGTTTCTTCCTGGTACCACGTAGCGTGTGTGAGCCGACCCGAGCAGACTGTGATCCTGTGATCACGGTCCACTGATCTCTGCTCTCTGCTACACAAGGCACTGCTAACTTCTTTTCCTTTTATCTTTTCGTAAACGTATGGAGACACAAATTGAATGCTCCTGTGTTGTGAATGTAAGGGATTTCCTACACTCAGTTTGTTTCTGTCTTTGTTTTGTGTGGGCACAAAATTTCCTGTCAGATGTGTGGTTTATTGCCTGATGTTGTGTGGCTTCATATGGTTTCTTTTCTTGCCAATATATATTTTTTCTCTTTTAGAATCATAATGAATTTATTTTTCCAAGACTTTTTGCGACAAACTTTTTCTCATTTATACTATAGGCCTACGAAGCCGGCGTAGCTCAGTCGGTGTACTTAATAGGCTACGGGATGGATGACCAGGGTTTAATTCTCGGCAGGGGAGAAATATTTTTCTCTTTTGAGTGCAGTTAAAATTGGTTTTGGGCCCCACCCAGTCTCATAATGAGCGTGTGCTGCAGAGACTATCCCCGGAATAAAACAGCAAGGATCAGGTTACGAATAGTGGAGCTATACCTCCACTCTTTCATATGTCTTCATGGCATGGTAGGTACACGGATAATTTTAGGACTATACATTTTCGATTTACTACTACTGACGTCTACTAATAATACTACGACTGCTACTGTTCTTAATGTCTTCCAAGTTATGACACCGTGTAGTCTGGTACCTGAATACCAACGCTTCGGAAGGACATACAATCTCATTCTTTGCAGTAGCGGTTTCCAATCTGAAGATATAAGCAGCACGTTCCTGCGAAACATCTTTATCCACATACCAGGCTATACGGTGTCATAATCCAGAAGATCACAGTATGAATTTTAACCGGCGTGAATATCTCATGTGTTTTATACAGATATTAGGCTGAAGTGAATCAGCTCGCAGTGAATTGATAGCAATTCCTTTCTCTAAGGTCTTTGTTCTCTGAATCCAAGAAAATGAATTCTCTCTTCTCCGTTGC